AGGAAGGCGTGCTCTGTCTTTCAAAACCCCAGTATGGCTTGAAGACGACCCAAGGAAGACCCTAGTCGCCCCAAGATGGTCTCAAATCGGCCCAAGAGGTTCAGGAGACGCCCCCGAAGGCCCAGAAGAGATCCTCAAGAGGCTCCCCAGAGGCCCCCCGAGACACCCCGAGAAGGCCACACATAGGCCATTCCATGTTCCCCACATGTCTTCCACAACGGCTACGGCGAGCACACAATCCAAACGCTTTCCCAAACTCCCCCCACCGGTCAGACACGCAAGGGCTTCCCCGAAGGCAGGGGACGGCGGTGCCTCGCGGCGTAGGCGTCGTCATCCGTCGACAAGTGTAGCGTGCAAGGGGTGCGCGGCCTGACAAGTTTTATAGTACGGTTAGAGTTAGGTCGGGCATGTCCCCTTACAGGCGGATTTTGGAGGGAAGTAATGAAAAAAATACCCGAACCTGATCAAACATCCTAAAAACAATCGTCCCCTATTTTTTGACTATTCTTGAATACTCCTCCTGTAGAGGGACATGCCCGACGTAAGGTCAGCCCTTCCAAGAGATTCCTTGTGGCTCTGGGCCCGTCGGCAGCCACCGCACACAGCACCCAGCATCGAGCCAACTCGCCTCCAAATCAGCCACCAAGTCAGCCATCGTGGCCCAAGATGGCCCTCGAGACGGGCCCAGACGACCCAACAGGGTCACAGCTGGCCTCCAAGATGGCACGAGGGCTCCAAAAAGCCTCCAAGTTCGCCTCACATGCCTCCGAGACGGCCAATCTGGCCTGGAGCGGGCCCGAGGCTTCCCAGGACAGCCTGAAGAAGTCCAAACCACTCATTGTTATAACAGTGTCAAGGCTATCCTTTTTCATACTTTTCGGACGTCCAGCAACCCCGGAGGTTCCAACAACCTCATGGTGGCCGACGATGCACTCGATGGTCCCAAAACTGGCCAGATCGCCACACAGTAGCTTCACGAGGTCCAGAAGAACGCATCAAGAGGGTCCAAGGACGGCCCTACAGCGACAGAAACATCCTCTATGACAGCCCCCGAGGCTCCCGCGACGGTTTCAAGATGCGTCTGATGGGCCATCAACGCCCCAAGACGGCCCAGGAGGCCCCCGAGAGGCCAAGAAGGTTGCATAGCGTCGCCCCGCTCACTTCGGCACACCTCTCACACGCATCGTGGCCCGCGTGGAGTTCCACGGAAAGTCCCAGAGCCAAGGTTCGCATCCCGCACCCCTCGTACTTCGGCACATCTCTCACACGGATCGTGACCCACAGCGATCTCCACCTACGGCCCCAGAGGCAAAGTTTGCATTGCGCCCCCCTCCCCCCCCCGCCCACTGTGGCAGACCCCATCACACGGATCGTGCCCACAGGAGGCACCACCGACAGGCCCAGAGACAAGGCTCGTAAAGGGCCGCCCCACCCATGTCGGCACACCGTCACGCGAAGCATGCCCCAGAAGGAGCTCCACCTATGGCACCAATGGACAGCTTCGCATGGCTTCCCCCCCGCCCCTTTCGGAACATGTCGCGCACGATTCGAGCCCAGAGGACCTCCACCTGCGACCTCAATGTGCGGGTTCGCGCGGGGGCATCCGAGATGCTCGGCACACCCTTCGCGCGGATCGCGCCCGACCAAGACTTCAGCACGCCCGTGCACGCACGCGTGCTCCGCAGCAGCCCGCTTTCCACGTTGCCCTGCGGCGCGCAGTGAAGAGAGACCCGCGACCTGCGCAGGGACGGGCCCGTCGCCAGGCCCATTGCTGGCTCGTCCACGGCCTTAAGACGGAGAGCCGAGACCGGCACCAAGAACGCATGCTTTCCACTGCCTCCGGACTTGCGTTGGGAGCCACATCGAGCCCGTCCTGGTTCACCGAATCGCAGGGGATACCAGCGGAGCGAGGAACGGTGAGCATCGCTCGAGTGGCCCGCCATCAGACGAAGCCACCCCCGCGAGACGCCCAGCAGCCAGCGCCGAGCGCCGGAGCCCGGGGCCTCCCCGAGAAGACCCACACGGGGGCCGAGGCAGGCCGAGGGCGGCCTACGCCAGGCGCCCCAGGTTCTCAGCCCTCAGCCTCGCAGGCCCACGCACCCTCAGGGGCTCTGGTTCCAGTGGTAGAGGCAGAAGACAAGACAACAGAAGCATAAACTCTTGGGGCGGCGCCGGAGGGCGCCGCCGAGGGGGGCCCACCGCGGATCCAAGCAATACGCGTGGCGCGCCAACAATTTATGTCAATGCCGTTTCTCTTTCTAAGTGGGGGTTGTGGTGCTGGCGTCGTCCTTCCGACAAGGCTGGGGTCGAAAGGCCCGTTCCTGCGCCAAGACGACTCGGGAGCACTTTCCCTGTGGACGCCCGTTGGGTGAGCGGGGTTTACTAAAGCCCAAGGGTACGCCAAGACGCCAAGACCGAAGATCATCGCAGGCCCCATTGAGCCCGAAGTCCAAATCTCAAGACTCGTGCCGGAAGGGAAGGGGGAGAGGGCCCACGGCGCCCTGCATCTCTCCTCAGCACGTCCGTTGACGTCGGGCCCACGAGCGCGAAGACGCGGAACAAGGCATGCAACTGAGACTCGGGACTTTTCTTGTGCGGCGATGTACCACCACCCCTGATTATTGGATACTGGAACTTTCCAGTCGCGACCGACGAAAACGGTCGCTACCGATTTTGCGTCAAATCTCGGTATCGGTCGCGACCGACTTGCTTTCAAAATCGGTCGCGACTGGTCGCTCGCGACCAATCGCGACCGCTTTTGGCATCGGTCGCGATCGGTCGCGACCGACTTGGAGTGCCAATCGGTCGCTGCCGGTCGCGACCGAAACAGATCGGTATCCAATGGTCCGGGACCGTGCCCTGTCTCCTGGACCCTGGAGCGGAGCGCGGCCTCTCCGCCGCGCCCCGCGCAGCGGTGCCGCGGCCGGGCCGCGGCCTCACAGGAAGGCGCGCCACCGCAGCGGCGGCCGCGCCCAGCCCCGCGCCCCGCGCCCCCGCCGGGCGAGCGGGGCCCGCGCGGCGGGCAGCAGCGCGGCCGCGCCCAGGCTGCTCTGCTTGGCAGGCTGCGGGATGTCCCGCGGAAGCTCGACGGACCGCGCGAGCTGCGCCAGCCGAGAGGCCGCGCCCTGCTCGGAGGCCTGCGAGCCCCCCTCCTTCTCGTCCCCGTCGCCCGAGCCCTTCAGCCGCGCCTCGCAGAGCACACGGTGCCTGCGCCCGGCGCACTCCACCCGGCTGGAGCACACGGGGTGCCGGTGCATCTCCAGCTTGCCGTTCTCGATGCTCGCCAGGGTGCGCGGCATGCAGTCCTCCTGGCCCTTCGGGCTGCAGAGGGACCAGCACTTCTCCGTCGCCTGCAGCACCCCCGGGCGAAGGTCCTCGCACAGGGGCACCTGCTCGCGAGGGAACCTCTCGTAGCCGCGGAAGCGCGCGTCGGGGTCGGGGATCGGCGGCTGTTCCGGCGGCAAATCATGGGAGCCTCCCGCACCATCCTGTCGGCTCTTGCGAATCGACGCTAGTCGACGCTAACCGGCGCTAAACCGATGCTCAATCGGCGCTAGCCGACGCTGCATTGGCGCTATCTCATCGACTCCCGGACGCTGATCGGCGCTGACTGCCGCGAAAGACAGAAGTGCGAGAGGATACCCGAGGCTCCCACGACTTGCTGCCCGAGGCTGTGGGTGCCACGCCCCGAACTCGTGAAAGGCCGCGGGGGCCGCGCCGCGCGCAGGCATCGGCGCCAGCGGTGGAGCCTCCTCCGCGGCGGGGGCGGCGGCGCGGGCCGCGGCCCTGCCGCGCAGGCAGGGCCAGGGGGTCCTCGGCGTCCGTCGTCTTCAGAGCCAACATGGGCACGGATCCATGGCCACCGTTCCTGAGTCTGTGATCAGCGTTTTCTTTTTGATACCCAGGGATCCGACGCTCCGACAGATTGGAGCGGGGGGATGTTGACGATGTTCGGCCTCTGGGGGGCCTCGCCGGGCTTCGGGAGCGTCATACAACGACTCAGGACGAAACACCGGCCCCTGGGAAGTGGTCCTGGACCCACGCAGTAAAAAATTGGAGCGGCTGGATGTCTGGGTACCTGCACCTTGGGGTCTCCTGACATGTCCCTCTTGGGCGCCTCTTGAACCGTCTTGGGGCTCTCCTGTCCTGAGAACCTCTTGGGAGCCTCTTGGGCCGTCTCGGAGCGATCTTGGCGGCCTCTCGGATCGTCTTGGACGCGTAAGACACCAAGGGCGGGTACGCAAACAGAAAAAGATGTCCTGCGGGAGTGGGGCAATGTAAGCCTCCTTTGGAAACTTTGGGCCTCTCTTGGAGCATCTTAGAGCCTTCTTACGGCGTATTGGGGGCACTTGGGCCCTGTTTTGCCGCTCTTGTCGCTGTGTCGCTTGGGCAGTCGAGGGAGAGGCCCGTGACGCCGCAGAGGGGGGGTGCTCCTGAGAGGGGTGGGTGGAAAATCCGGGAGGGTGTCCCGGGTCGGAGCTCGGGCCATAAGCAGCCTGGCATATGAAACACATATGTGTGTGTGCTCGCACGGGAAGGTGAGGGGCATTGTTTCGGGTGGTGTCTCCGTGTTGCCACAATCTGTGCTCAAGCCTCCTTTCTCTCGTCAGAGGCGTCGATGGGCCCTGCCGCCGGCCGGCCCCCGATCGCGGTCCTCGCGGTGGTCCTCGCCTATGCGGGCTGGCGCGCCGCCGAGGTTGGGCTGCTGCCCGTGGGGCTGCTCGGGCCTGGTGGGCCGCCGCCCCCGCCGCCGCCGCCCGACGTTGGCGCGGCGCTGGGCCGTGGTGAGCCCGAGGGCTCGCCTGCCTGGCTGGAGGCGGTGTGCCCAGTGGCGCCCCAGTGCCCGACCTGCCCGGCCTGCTCGTGCCCGCAGGTAGAGCTGCAGGGCCCATCGCCTGGAGAGCAGGTCGTGTGGCTGCTCGTCCCCCCCGTGCTCACCAAGCTCCTGGGCTCTGTGGCGAGCTGCTGGTGTGGGCGTGGCCGATCCGCTGCGGTGAGACATGGCGCTCCTCCCGTTCGGCGAGGAGGAGGAGTGGTACAGTGACCTGTCCCCTGGCCAGTACGTGGCCATGGAGTACGAAGGCGACGACGTAGATCACGAAAGGATCCTGCTCTATCCTCTCGGCGGCGGAGTCTGGTGGATTCGAACACCAGACGGCGATGAGTACTTCCAGGACGTGGCCTGCCAGGACGCGTCGGACGGCCCTGTGCGCTGCCGCCTGCTGCCCGCCGATGGCTCGCTGCCGCCTGGGGCTAGAGGCCGAGGGCGGCGTAAGCTGTACCGCTTCCCGGAGCGGGTCGGCGCCGTGGAGCTGCGAGAGGGCATCCTACGGGGCCGTAGGGCTTGCGAAGCGGAGCGCCGCCCTGGCCAGCGACCCATGGTGCCCGAGCGCGCGCAGGAGCCCGCCGGCGGGCTGACCCCGATCGGGCGTTTCTTCGGTGGCAGCTTCCCGCCCGCGCCGGGAGTGCGGCTTCGAGGCAAGCAGCCGCTGACTGCGGCTCTGGTCGCGCGGCCCAGGCCCGAGGTGGCACTTGGCGGCACGGCCGCGCCCGAGGCTACTGAGGCGGAGGAGCCTGCGACTGACACGCTGCCGCTGCTAGCTGGGCACGTCTGGGCACTGGCGGAGCCCGTCGTTTCCGCTGCCATCGGCAGCGAGGTGGACATCCGCAAGGCGACGTTCGTTGGCGCGTCGGACACCTCGGGGCTGATCTTCGTGGACGACGGCTTCGCCAGAGTGAGGCGCATGCCAGTCGAGGACGTGCCCGAGTACGCCGACACTCGCACCGCCGAGCTGCGCCGTCGCCTGGGGCTGCCGGGAGCGGGCGCCGAGGCGGACCTTCGAGATCGCCTGGCTCGCCCACCGCTGCCGCCGCCCGCCGAGGCGCCCGCCCAGGCTGGGGAGGCCGCCGCGGCGCCGATCAAGAGCGAGGATGCCAGGCTGCTCGCGGTGGACTTCGACGGCCAGGGCGAGCGCTTCAAGCCTTGGCGCGAGGCGGTGCATGAAAGTAGCCAGGAGGAGTTCAGCGACCAGCCGATGGATGCCCTCCCGAGTGCGCTCACTACTTGTAAGAGTATGCTGAGAGTGGGCGGCGATCCGAGGCTCTGGCTACGTGAGTACCTTCGAGAGAAGGGGAAGGCCAGCACGGACCGCGTCGCCCACGAGTTACGTTGTATATGCGAGGCTTTGTACATGGCGGGCTTCTACGACCAGGTGAATCTGGGCGGTCTGATGGCGCTGGAGGTCTTGTGTAAGCGACTGGCGGGCATCGTGGCGGCGCACGCTAATCCACAACGCGTGCAGTGGGAGGTGGCGAAGTACTACACGGGCGTGCAGTCGGCCGAGGACGTCGCTGGCCCAGTGCTGCGGGCCCACGTGGCGCGCGAGATACGCGAGGATCGAGAAGGCCTGCAGGCGCTGCGCGGCGCCCCCTCGGGCGCGCTGGAGGGCGACCTCGGCGCTGGTGGCGGCGGTGGCGCTGGCAGGAGCGCTGGAGGCGAGGACAAGGGAGGCGGGGGCGGTCGTGGACGCGGCGACGGCGGCAGAGGCCGAGGCCGCGGCGCCGGCGCCCCCGGGGCTGCATGACGGCCCCGCCGGCCAGGGGGCCCCCCGACCCTGGTCGGCTTCAGGGGGCTGGCGGCCGCCCCAGACTGGCGGCCTCGCGGGGACAGCGAAGCCTGTTTCCGCTTCCGCTCCTGCCGCTGGATTCGGCGCGCCTCGGGCAAGGCCGTGGTCGCCTAGGAATGGCGAATGACGCGCTGAAAGCACTGCGCTGGATGGCGGGCTGGAAGGAGTTTTTGTGGGCGGATCGCGGCCCGGGCGTGCTACCCGACGATGTGCAGGTGGACGTTCAGCGGAGGGTGTGTGAGTTGGTCGACAGCTGGTACCCGCGCCCTCCGCAACTCAGCGACGAGGCGGCTCTCAAGAAGTTGCTTCAAGGACATTCCCCGTATCGGGCGGCGGGCTGTCCGACAAGGGTCACGTCCTTCAAGCTCGACCTTCTGAGCCTCCCAGGTTCTGTTCGAGGGTGTCCGCTGATAACTGACGTGGCGCCCTCTGAGGTCATTGGAATTCTGGAGGACTATCATGAGCGTATGTTGGCGCCGCCTGTTGAGAAGTATGAGACGATTCCCTACTTTGTTCCTAAGCTACACTTCAATCAGAAAGAATATCATCGGCTCCTCCGTCGTCTGACAGACATCGGCATTATTACCTGGACCAGCTCGCCAAAATGTCAGGTGGGCCTCTTCACGGTGGAGAAGGACGGCGGCGCGGCCCAGAGACTGATAGTCGATGCCAGACGGGCCAACGAGTGCTTCCAGGCGCCGCCTGGGGTCGCCCTCTTGAGCTCGGAGGGGCTGTCGAGGATAGAGGTGGAGCTGCCGGCTGACGCGCCGCTGGGTTCCGAGCAGGCCGCAAAGCTGTTGGGGGACTTTTACCTCTCGATCGGCATCTCGGATGCGTCTAATTGCTTTCACAGGTTACGCGTGCCAGCCTGGTTGTCAGACTACTTCTGTCTCCCTCCCGCGCCAGCTCACGTGATGGGCGCGGCGGGCGTGGAGGTGAACGGGCGAGTCCTCGGCCGCGCGGAGGCAGTGGCGCCGTGCTGGGCCGTGCTCCCCATGGGCTTCACCTGGAGCTTGTGGATCGCCCAGAGGATCAACAAGTCTACTGTGACCAAGGTTGCGCCTTCCCTTCCTGGATCCCCTCTGCACGATCGCGGGCCGCCGCTGGTGGTAAGGCCTGCCTTGGGCGGGGGCCACGGAGCGCTCAGTCACTACGTCTACGTAGACAACCTCGGGGTGATAGGTGTTTGTGAGGCTGCAGTTGGCGAGGCGCTCGAGCGGCTGGAGGAGGGCTTCAACCGCGAGGGGCTACTGCTTTACAAGTCGGAGCGGACACGCGGCAGTATCATCGCGCTTGGCACGGAGCTCGACGGGACGGCGCTGCGGACGCGGGCCACGCCCAAGCGCTTCTGGAGCATATACCAGTCGCTGGGCGCGCTGCTGCGGCGCCGTCGGGCCAGTGCGTGGGCGCTAGAGGTCGTCCTGGGCCACTGCACGTTCGCCGCTCTGTGCTGCCAAGGCCTGCTAAGCATTTTCCATCCGGTATATGCCTTCGTGGAGCGAGGTCGCGCCTCGGGCCGAGCTGAGCCGCTGTGGGACGAATGCCGCTTCGAGCTGCAAGCCTTCAAGTCCCTCATGATCTTCATGTTCAGTGACTGGCTGCGCTGCTGGAACGACCTGGTGGTTCAGACCGACAGCAGCCTCGAGGGGTACGCGGTGGCGCAGGCGCTCTGGCCCGTGCAGGCTGTACGGGAGGTGGGCCGCACCTCCGAGCGGCAGCGCTTCCGCCGCGCGGGCTCCCACCGAGCGCGGGAGAGTGCCCTCGAGACAGCCGGGCTTCAGTCAGCAGGCGGACGGCAGCTGGGCAGTTGCCGCCGCCGAAGGTTTTGATGAGGAGGGTGCCGCCTCCGAAGAGGCACCAGATTGGGAAGTAGATCTCTCGTTTCCCGAGGTGCCTGCTGGCCTTTTGAAGTCATATCTTTGGCGGCTGGTGAGTGCAAAAGTGGCAACGTTCTGAGGGGATCTTGGTTAAGGAGGCTCGTGCCCTAGTCAAAGGCTTCATTCGTGTTGTGACTAGCTCGCAAGTGCGTGACATGAGGCAGCTTCTGTTGTGCGACAATATGTCGGTCACCCTCGCCATCGGCCGAAGCCGTGCCAAAAACTTGTTGTTTCTTGTTCAGATCCGCGTTTTCCAGGCCCACTGCCTGGCCAGGAACGTTTTAGGGGCTGTGCGCTGGATCCCTTCCGAATTAAACTTCTCGGACAAGGGTGCTAGGATTTTCGAGAATAGCAGTGCCAGTAAGACTTTGGTTGATGATATTCCTTCATTTTTGAGTGTCAAAGGCAGCAGTTTAAAGGAGACTTCGAAATGCCCGCAATCCCCGAACCGATGAAATTTAGCTGTCCCCTCTTCTGCCGTTCCCCTCGGGAGGTACGTAGACATTTCGTCTCAAGCTTTACCATGCACTCTCTGTGATCGTTCCGATTTCGGGAGTCAGAGAGGCGATGCCTCCCAGCAAGCGGCAGGCGACCCTACCACCGACGGAGCCTCGATCAAGCAAGTGCCAGCGAGGGCACGTGACGCTGGCCAACCAGAGAGAGGCCACCTTGCGGCCGCAGGATGTCCAGCTGGTGCTGCGCGACAGGCTGAGCTGTCAACGCCAGGAGTTGACTCTCCCCGACAGCGAGGATCGCCTGAGGCGCGAGCCCGCGCTGGCAGACGTCGGCGAGAGCAGCAGCACCGGCGACGAGGGGAGGCCAGGGCCTGGCGCCGCGCGGAGGGCAGTGCTGCGGCGCACGGGCCACCAGAGGAGGCGCAAGTTCCTGGGCACCGCCCTGGCGACCGCAGCCGGGGGTCTCAGCAGCTTCCTCGAGGAGAGCTCGGTGACGCCCAGGGCGCTGGAACGGTACCAGACCGAGGTGGCGGGCTTCACGGACTTCGCAGGAGAGCGGCCGCTGGTGCGCGACGAGCAAGTCGACGGCGTGCTGGTGGAGCACTTCAGCTTCCTCTTTTTCAAAGGCTGGGATGCCAACAAAGGGGAGCAGATCCTTGCTGGCCTGATGTGCTTGGCGCCGGAGTTCTCGCGGGCTGGCCACCGCCAGCTCCCCCGGGCCTTTCGTTGCCTGAAAGGCTGGCGGCGCCGGGCCCCTGGCCGCAGCAGGCGCAGCTGGCCCCTAGCCTTGTGGGCTGGAGTAGCCTGGAGGTTAGTCGAGCGCAACCTCTTGAAGATGGCGGTCTTCCTCCTGGTCTCGCTCAGCAGCTACCTGAGGCCGAACGAGCTGATGGGCCTCAAGGCGCGTGGCGTGATTGCGCCTGCTGCTGGCATCTCCCCGTTCTGGAGCCTGCTGCTCTTCCCTTCTCAGCAGATCGAGCGGAGCAAGACCAACCTCAGCGACGTCAGCATCGAGATGGACTCGCCCTACTTGCAGTTCATAGGCCCGATCCTGAGGGTACTGGCCAGCGGGCCGAAGGACGAGGTGGTTTGGACCTTCACGTATCCTCGGTATCTCCAGGAGTTCAAGACCTCGCTGTCCGAGCTCGGCATCACAGAGACGATAGTGCCGTATCAGACGCGGCACTCGGGACCGTCGATCGACATCGCGAGGAGGTATCGGACGGTGGCCGAGGCACAGCGTCGCGGACAGTGGGCAAGCATCAAGAGTGTCCAGCGGTACGAGAAGGGCGCCAGGCTGGGGGAGAGCTGGGAGCTTCTTCCAGTCGGAGTGCGCCAGCTGCTGGAGGCATGCGAGGGAGCGCTCGAGGACATACTCTGCGGCAGACCGCACGGCGTGGCGCTCCCTTGGCGGGGCATGTCAGAGGCCGCTACATCCTCGACCTCTACTCGGGGACAGGCGGCGTCGCGCGGGCCGCGGTCCAGCAGGGTTGCAACGCTCACGCGTACGATCGTGCCCGCGGGCCCCACGAGGACTTGACAGCGCCCAAGAGTGATCAAGTGTGTGACGGCGGCGATAGCACGAAAGGAAGTGTTGGGTGCCGTCTTGGGCCCGCCGTGTGATGCCTGGGGCGGAGCGGCGGACCGAGGCAGACACGGCCCCATCCGCTCGAGGCTGCAGCCGTGGGGTTTAGATGCTAACGAGTTGACTAGACGTCAGTGTGAGCGCCTTGAGCGCGGCAACAAAGTCTTTCGGAGTGCCTTGCTGATTTTACGAGCTTTGTGTAGATGTCAGGTTCCAACAATCCTTGAGCATCCAGTCAATTCTAGAATTTGGCACACCCCTGAGCTTATAGGTCTCCATGAAAGGTTTAGAGGCCACACTAGGACTTTTGATCAGTGCCAGTTCGGACGTTGTTGGCGGAAACGCACAAAGCTTGCCTTCTTTTTCGTAGACATGTCCGATACGTTGAAATTCGATCGTAGGTGTAAAGGGAGCTCAGGAATGTGCAGTCGCACGGGTAGGAAACATTTCGTACTGGAAGGAGCCGCGCCATCAGGTGTAAAGTGGACGGCCATTGCAGCTTCTTACCCCCCTACCTTGTGTAGAGCCATGGTCCAAACGTTCCTGTCTCATGAGCGTGATCGCATTGCCTCTTTTGTGTCTGAATGACGCCGGCGTTCTGCCCCGCCTGCGTGGGGTTTTAAGCTTTCTTTCTCGCTTTTTGGTGCCCTGTCCCGCCCGTCCCTGGGAACCTTGAGGGCTCGGGTAGCCCTTGTCGGGTTTGGGATGTCTTGAACGAGTGCCGTCCCAGGTGCACGGCTCTCGATCTATTTCTGTGTTTCGATCGACTGGCGTCGAAGTCGCGTCGACGCGTGGCACCTTGTAGCAGAAACTGTCCCCACGAGAAAAATACAGCAGCACCTGTGTGTGCTCGCACGGGAAGGTGAGGGGTATTGTTTCGGGTGATGTCTCCGTGTTGCCATCATCTATGCTCAAGCCTCCTTTCTCTCGTCCCTCCCTCCCTTGCCCGTCTCTTTCAGGATGTCTTGAGCGAGTGCCGTCCCAGGTGCACGGCTCTCGATCTATTTCTGTGCTTCGATCGACTGGCGTCGAAGTCGCGTCGACGCGTGGCACCTTGTAGCAGAAACTGTCCCCACGAGAACAATACAACAGCACCTGTGTGTGCTCGCACGGGAAGGTGAGGGGTATTGTTTCGGGTGATGTCTCCGTGTTGCCATCATCTATGCTCAAGCCTCCTTTCTCTCGTCCCTCCCTCCCTTGCCCGTCTCTTTCAGGATGTCTTGAGCGAGTGCCGTCCCAGGTGCACGGCTCTCGATCTATTTCTGTGCTTCGATCGACTGGCGTCGAAGTCGCGTCGACGCGTGGCACCTTGTAGCAGAAACTGTCCCCACGAGAAAAATACAACAGCACCTACATATACACACATACATCCATCTGTCCAGCCATACATACAGACATACATACATACATACATACATGCATGCATGCATACATACATACATACATACATACATACATACATCTATAGGTGGGTATACACATGTTCGCCAGCGTGGGCCGAAAGCGGTGCGTTTCTAGAAATCTATGCTGTGCAATATACTTGCCGCATTATGTGCTCCCCCGCGGCCCCAAAAAGGGCGAAAACACAAACGGGAATCTGGCGGTGGGCGGCGACGAGGGTCTCCCCCGAGACCCCAAAAGACAAAACCGAGGGGAACGTAGCGTTGTCGGTGCCCATCGGTCGGAAGAAGTATGTAGAAACATGAAGCAGGAAAGCGTTGAACACAGATTGGGTGTCCGCCCGCCCCCCAGAGGACAGAAAAGGCGCTGAAAATAGATACGAAGATTCAGATCCGAAACATACCTACATTCAACGACCAGTGGGCAACGACAGCGGCCCACGAGATCGTCACAGAAGAACCCCGTCCAGCTCGCGCCCTGGCCCGGGACACGCGCGGCGCGAGACGAGGCCACAGCCACAGGTCCCGAGGCCACGGCCTGGGCTCCACCCCCCCTTCCCAAAACATTCGAGCAGCAGATTGACTGCAGAAGGGATGTCGAGAATCATTCGAGTAGGAGATCGGCTTCGAGTAGGAGATCGACTACAGTGTTCGATTCGATGTACCCCAAACTTGAGAATCTGAGTCGGAGCCATGCGAAGTAAACATATAAGTTCCGTAGATCTGCGAATTTCCGACATGTTGTGTAGACTCCACGAAAGAAAGGTAAGGTGCATCGATTATGTAGTCGATCCTCTACTCGAACCATTGGACACCCACCATTTCGTTTGGTTCGGTCGAGGTCGGTAGCGATCGATCGTGTCCGAGTCCAATACCGGACGCGACAGATCGCTCCCGAGACCGACATCGGCTGCGACCAGATGCGATCCATCGCGGCCGATGTTGGGGAAAATCGGTCGCGACCGATACTGGAATCAGAAACAATATCGGTAGCGACCGTTCTCGTCCGCCCCGACCAGGACAACCTGGCATCCACTGATCAGGGCCGGGGCTGTCTTTCCGCCCCAGAAAGCCTGCAGTCGAGGAAGACTGCCCAGATTGAGACAATCTCGTCGGTCGAGGCCCAATTCGATCTTCGAGTGGGAGGTCGACTAAAGAATTGATCTACCCCAGACTTGATTTGGTCGGCGAATCTGCAGCACGTGAAACCTTCGTGGGTCTGCGAACAATCTAGGTTTATCCTCGTTGACCCGACGAAACAACAATCTCTGGAGGACGCGTAAGGAGGGGTGCGATACATGGGGCGGGCAACGAGGGCCGCAGAAGAGGGCCCTGCAGGGCCCAAGAGGGGGCCTCTAGGGCCTTGAATTGATTGGTTGTCAATCTTCAGTCGCGCCCAGAATTCTGGCGTAAATCCATTTGGCGGCTCGCAAAAAGGGGTAGGGGGAGGGGGGAAGGCTTCTGAGAAGCACCCTGCTTCTTAGAAGGCCCCGGCCTTACGTCCATAGATAAGGCCCGCGCCTGCTAAGAAGAAGGGGTGCTTCTGAGAAGCCTTCCCCCCCCACCCCATACTCCCCTCTGCGCGTGGCCGATCGACCCTGCAACCGACCTCCTGCTCGAGCTCCGGCGGCCGGCGCTCTGGTCCCGGCGTTTTCATTTGTTCTTTGGTGTCGCATGATTACTTTGACAATCTTCTCCTAAAACTCTCAAACATGAACTTGGCTGTGTTGATTTCCTCGGGTGCTCCCAGGCTGCTGCCGGTGGGGTCGCCCCTGCCACCCCCCCTCGCCCCGCGGGAACACACAACTGGCCGCCTCCCGCCGCAGCAGGCCCAGCTCCTCGGCGTGGCGCGCCTCCGCCGCCTGGGCGAGCGGGAGGCGAGCTTCGATCCAAGACCGCGGCCCCTCGAGCTTCGATCCAAGACCGTGGCCCCTCGAGCTTCGACTCCCGATTCTCGCTCGTCCCTCCTCAGACATCGCTCCTCGCTCCTGGCTCCTCTCGTGGCGGACCTACTCTTTGGTCGGAAGAAGTGTGCAGAAACATGAAATACGAAGGCGCTCCAAGTTGCTTTGGACTCCCGCCCGCCCCGTGAAGAGAGAGGAAAGAGGGACAGCCACAGCCTACAATTGCATGGCGCCTACTAGTAGCATGGCGCCTGCAAGTAGACTACGATCTTGGCACCCAGAATGCAGTAGGGGCCCTACCACAAGAAACCTGCACAAGAAACCCAACACTAAGAAATCAGGACGTTCATTGATTTTGAGTTTGGGAACGTAGCGCTCTCCATAGCAAAACCATCGAAACCAAGAAACGCAGGGCACCCTGGATACAAGCAGGGTGTTTCTTGGCATGGGTTTCCACTGTACCTGCTTTCAACGACTGGCGTGCATCCCTAAGAGGGGCAAGCCAAAAGCGACGACAATCTTGGGGACGTGCCCTCGGAGGCTACGGCAAGCCTTCAGATCGGCATCGGGGTGAGGTGGTTCCGAAAACAGGGATAGGGGCATGCTTTTGAACTGGTGAGTCCGCTGGACAAGGGCAGCGTCCATCGTCGTCGTCGTTCCCCGACTCCCCCACTCGGCGGCGAGCCCAGGGGAGGAGTGAGAAGAGGGGGTGGGGCCTTCTCAGAAGGCTCGGAAGTCGTCTGAGAAGTGTCCTGAGCCTTCCCCGAAGATGGCGCGAGGGCTTCCGAGAAGCCCCGCCGACTGCTGAGAAGGCCTGCTCCTCCTCACCTCCCCACAGGGCGCGCCGCCGAGCTGCGGTCGGGAGCGCTTTCTTAGCGTGCCGCGGCGGCCCCGTCGACACGCTTCCCCCTGCGAGCGGACAGCGTGTCGCTTCGCTCCGCGTGGCGGGATGGTCCGACAAGCTTGGGACGCTGGCGCTTGGGGAGGGGGACATGGATAGCGTGTCGCTCCAAAGCGTGGTGGGCCAGAACCTACGGAACGACACACGTTCAAGAAGTTCCCGACCGTAATCATCGGATGACTGGCTTATGGCCACGACCGATCTGATCGGTCGCGGCCGGTTCTGCGGCGAATTCCAGGGTAGGAAATCGGCCGCGACCGACTTCCGACTTGGAGTGCCGATCGGTCGCTAACGACCGCAAACGATCGGTCGCTACGGTATCCAGTGATCTGGAGTCCCCTCAGGAAGACGAGACCCCAGACCCCCGTGCCTCCAGAGAATATCACAACGGGTCGCGTCGCTCGTCGTCGGTATTCGTTGTCGTTGCTGGTGGTCGTCGTCGTCGTCGTCGTCGTCGTCGTCGTCGTCGTCGTCGTCGTCGTCGTCGTCGTCGTCGTCGTCGTCGCTCGCCGACGTCGCCAGCGTCGTCGTCGTCGTCGATCGTGGTCGTCGTCGTCGATCGTGGTCGTCGTCGTTCGTCGCTCGTCGCCGGCACCATAGATGTCGGTCTGGGCCCCGAGGAGGATGAGGCGCAGGCGAGGGCGAGGCCGAAGGCGAGGGGAGGAGGAGGCCACGCTCCCCCGCCCACCGAGCCACACCCGGGAGCCCGAGGCATACCCGGGAACACAGACGGGGGGGTGAGATGAGCCG